ATTACTTCCTGTTTAAAAGTTATAAGCAATATCGTCCTAAAGAGTATCAAAAGAAATACCACCTAAAAATCACATTAACGGTGGAAGAATCAAGTAGTCGTTTGAAAATAATTGAATGTTGTTTAAAGTGCATAAATGTCACAAAATACTTGTCATTACTCAATACGAACGTCAAACGTATAACTTTTGTGCTTACAAAATGTTTCTCATGCAGAATATATTGCTAATTTACGGCGAGTCACAAAAAGATTCAAGAAGAGCTGTAGAGTTATATCGAGGAAGGTATCCAGAGCGCCTCATTCCTGATCATAGAACCTTTACAAGATTGGAGACGACTTTGCGGCGAAATGAATATGCACTTTCTGTTCGGAAAATTCAAATAATTGACCGAAGGGTAAGAAATAATGTTGATATAGCTAGACTGTTACAGTATTTCGAACAAAATCCATGAAATTCTATACGACAGGCTAGCCGGGAATTGAATTTGGATAAATCAGTCGTTCAACGAATTTTAAAGACCAATGGGTATCATGACTACAAAATTCACAATTTGGAGTATTTGCCTGAGCGTCACATTGAAAACAGACTTAATTTTATAGCTCAAACTGTAGTAATGTAGAAACTGTTGATCAGAACCATTTTCGTCACTTCCTTTGGACGGACGAAAGTCGGTTTGTCAGTAATGGTTTGCCAAACAGGCACAACGAACACTACTGGTCCATACATCGAACAGCGTGAGTTACCTAAATTTTCTACAAGAAGGAACTTCCTGCACTTCTGGAGAATGTGCCTTGGCAGCTAAGAAAATTGCAACAAACCTCTTTTCGGCACTTTTTTCAATTTTTTAACTATAACTCGCAAACTAAGCGTTTTTTGATTATAACTATGATATAGGTACCAAATTAAAGTAGGCAACATTTCTTACAAATACATATAATAACTCTAAAGTCTGGACAATTAATAACGTCGTTAGATCGTGTTGAAAAAATGGCATTTCTTGACTTTCCGTTAAAAAAAGTTGAAAACATTCTAACTGCGCGCTGGTGCCCTACTTTCAACTTCATACACCTCAAAAAAGCAAAAACGCCATTATTTAATAATTTTCATATTCATTCGTCGTCCTTACCTGCAGAATTATCACCTGAAACAACGAGAATGGAGACTTTAGATAACGAGCGTTCAAATAAAAACGTGGTCGAAGTTGGCTCTGACACATTGGACGTAGGGAGTAGCTTATAGCGACCAACTTAACCTCATTTCTCAACGAGCTGTATAGCAGCTGTCAGTTTCAATAACGTTAATGACTATATAACTTTATTTTAAAGAATAATCGTGATAACAATAACAAACAATTAAAGGAGCTGCGGAAAGTGTCCCCCTCCTTGTTATAACAATAAATTAAAGCAGCTGCTGAAAGTGTCCCCCTCCTTGTTCCAAGCACTTTTCACACCTGTTCCTCAAAGAATTAAAGACATTTTCTAAGATGCTCGGGGTATTGTTAATTTCACGAATCTTGTCTATAAGTCGAGCCTGCAGATGGTTTAAATCAGGAATAGGCAGTTCAAAAATAGTGTTTTTAAGGTAAGGCCACAAAAAGAAATCACACGGCGTAATATCACATGACCTCGGTGGAAATTCATGTTCAGCATTGAGACTTATTAGTCGATTTTGGAAAACTTCCCTCAACATATTCATCGTCTCGCCTGCCGTATGTGCCCTTGCGCCATCTTGTTGAAAGTAAAAGTTTGTAATTTCGTTTTCTTCCAGCTGGTTAACAAAAGGAGCGATAATTTCTTCTCTATACCTTTGCGCAGTAAGAGTACCATTAAAAAAAATAGGTCCATAAATCCTCCTTCGATTGAGAGCACACCAAACTCCAATTTTTTGAGCGTGTAGAGGGCCCTCGACAAAAAAGTTATCTGGTTTTTCAGAAGACCACATTCTCATATTCTGTGAGTTTACGTAACCACTTAAATGAAACCAGGCTTCATCAGAAAAAAAGGTGATATTATGAAGTTCACCGTAGTTGTTTAAAAACCATTCACAAAATACAGCCCGTCGCGGAAAATCAACTTCATGAAGTTCTTGCTGACAAGTTAAACGATAGGAGAACAAACGCAAATCTTTTTTTAACACTGTGTGGCAGGTACCGACTGATACTCCCACCATTTGTGATAAAACACGTACAGAAGTTCTTGGCGCATTTTCCATTATTTGTTGGACATTTTCTTTTAATTCTTCAGTCCGCTTTTTAGGTCGGCCGCTTCCTTCTTTTCTTGTTACACTGCCCGTTTCACGAAAAACATTAACACAACGCTGAACTGCACTTTGAAAAATTTTGTACTCAACAACGCCGGGAAATTGATTTTGAAATTCTATGAAACATTCCTCAATAGAATACTTCCATATTCCATCAATCTTGCGTCCATTTCTAAAGTAGGACTCTATGATAAACACTTTTTGTTCTTGAGAAAACACCATTTTAAACGCTTTTTAAAACGAAAATATTCAAATTGATAGCGGCGATATAGCGCTTTGACAGATGACGTTTAAGTTCATTTGCTATACGCTACGCCCTACGTCCAAATTTTCAGAACCAACTTGACCACGTTTTTATTTGAACGCTCGTTATAATATAATCTATGTTGTTCACGTTCATTATGGACAAAGTTTATTATGTCTTTGCACAATACAGTTTAATATTATTTTTCAAAAAGAGAAAACGGAAAATAAGATGAAGAAGAAGACAATATCTGCATAAGGCTCAGGATTGCGTTCGCAGATGTTCTGTTTAGAAGATGGACCAGGCTGTATATCCGGAGCGGCGTAATGTCCCCAGCCCTAGAGAAGCTTCTGAGACTCATTAGCTTTTTTTCGTATAAATACAAATTTGTTTCAAATGTTTTCTTTTATCAAAACCTTCTATCTTCCCTTTGAATTAAGAGTAGCACGATTTTGTTTGAACTAGGAGGCCCGTTGACCATATATGGACCTCCGCTCACGTTTGACAATTCCTTAAATGTAACCTGGACATACCAGATAACCATAAAATAATTGATTTTAGAGGCGTATGAAGTTGATAGTAGGGCACCAGCGTGCTGTTAGAATGTTTTCAAAATTTTTAGCAGAAAATCAAGAAATGACATTTTTTCAACACGATCTAACGACGTTATGAATTGTCAAGACTTTAGAGTTATTATACGTATTTCTAAGAAATTGTGTCTACTTTATTTTGGTATATCATAGTTATAATCAAAAAACGCTTAGTTTTCGAGTTATAGTTAAAAAACTGAAAAAAGTGCCGAAAATTTGAGGTTTTTTGGAATTTTCCTTGTGAAGCCGACGCTTGGCGAGGTGGTAAACCTCAGAATCGAATTCACCCCAAAAAATATACAGGGTGTCTCATAATTAGCTGCCAACCCTGAACAGGCCGATTCTATGATCAAAACTAAGTAAAAAAGTTCATATGAACATGGGTCCGGAAATGCTTCCTAAGGGCACAGGGACCCATTGAAGAGGGAGGAATGGAAATCATTTTTTTGCAATATCTCTCAATCGCGTTGTGATAAATGAATGAAATTTGGTATACACAGCTAAATTTTGATGAGCAATTTGATGGACTAATCCATTTATTTCCACAAGGTCCATTGGGGTGGGTACGGGGGGGCCCTTGGTACTTTGCGTGTGTAACTTTTTCATCTTTGACTTTTTAACAAATTGGACAGCAAATTCCGTTTTCCCGAACTGTTTTACGTTAAAAAGGTACTCTTGTTTCAAATCGTTATCTTTAACGGTTTCTGAGAAAATCGCTCTTGAATTAATCCCACTTTGGTCAATTTCATAGTAATTTAAACAAAAAATAATAATAATAATTTTCCTTTCCTCTCTTTTCCATTTAAAGGATTAATTTTTATTTAATTTAATTTTTTATTATTATTTTTTTATTAAAACTAGATTAAATTGAAACAAAATATTTTTTTTTGTTTAAATTACTATGAAATTGACCAAAGTGGGATTAATTCAAGAGCGATTTTCTCAGAAACCGTTAAAGATAACGATTTGAAACAAGAGTACCTTTTTAACGTAAAACAGTTCGGGAAAACGGAATTTGCTGTCCAATTTGTTAAAAAGTCAAAGATGAAAAAGTTACACACGCAAAGTACCAAGGGCCCCCCCGTACCCACCCCAATGGACCTTGTGGAAATAAATGGATTAGTCCATCAAATTGCTCATCAAAATTTAGCTGTGTATACCAAATTTCATTCATTTATCACAACGCGATTGAGAGATATTGCAAAAAAATGATTTCCATTCCTCCCTCTTCAATGGGTCCCTGTGCCCTTAGGAAGCATTTCCGGACCCATGTTCATATGAACTTTTTTACTTAGTTTTGATCATAGAATCGGCCTGTTCAGGGTTGGCAGCTAATTATGAGACACCCTGTATAGAACCGGTGAGAAAAAAACTTCTACATTTTTTTCCTGGAAAAAACCTTTGCTTACTGGATTATAACTGTATTAAGGATTTAACGAATTTAATCCTTTTATTTATTCTTAATGGCATTTTCCAACGACTACTTGATTCTTCCGCCGCTAATGTGATTTTAAGTGGTATTTCTTTTGAGACTCTTTAGGACGATATTGCTTATAACTTTTAAACGGGAAGTAATACAGAAAAAGTTTTCTACTAAAAGTTTATTAAAAAAAAAATTTGGGTATGTTTCTGGAAAACACATAATTGATGACGTCATTAGTCGTTTCTGTCAAATCCCAAAGATAACATTTTCGATTGAAAATGGAGCTTACCTCATTCCACTTAACACCACGCGTCCCAAATTTTATTTATTTTTTTTTGTATCTTCACAGTAGGCCCATACTATCGAGTATGACACACCATGTACATTAAAAGTTTCCGTTCTTAGGCTTTGTCTATTTCCGTGCAAAATAATGTTCCAAACAACGTTACGCGGAGACAAACGAACGGCACGACGCCATACTCACCCCACTGTCAGGATTACCAAATTGGTTGTACTTCCAAGGCGTTTGCCCGCCCATGTAGAGGCTCGCATAGGAATGCCTCTGGAATTCCATGTCGGGATCCGACTCAAACTAATTCCGAGACAAACGCAGAATCTTCGCTGAGGTCACGACACGGAAAAATGTGCAAACGACACGAAAAACGCAACATAACCCGCGATAACCTACAGTACGACGCGCAATACGACTGATTATTAACAATCGCCGAGATGCAACAATAAAACCGGTCGTCCTTCGATGCTAACTCACTAATCGCTTATTGTCTCATTCGGTCAAACGGGGCATTTAAAAGACAAAGACTAGGAAACGGCGAGCGTAGGTATTCGCGAGACTTTCCCTGTGGGGGCACCACACTTGCACACAGTTCGCTTATATGTCGTTTGTGACGTTATGTGTATGAATATGTAATAATAATCCAACTCTCTGTGTATGTTCTCCGCCCCCCCACCATCGTCGGCCGACGGTGCCGACGGGAGCGCGAGACTGCTTGGCACTCCACGATTATTGACATTGGAGTCCGTGCCGGGAGGTTGGGGGCTTGCGGTGAAAGAACAATAATTGTTTTACTCGGCCTTTACGAAAGATCACAAGCCACGTGACCAATAATTTTATTTCCTTCGCTTTAGAAATTACATTTTGGTAAAACGAAAAATTACTAAAAAATTAGACCAATGTTACGATAAAATATAAAGTTTTAAGGAGGTATATCGGGGTCCGAGGGAAGTGAGGAGCTCAGGGGGGGGTCTTATGCTTTTCTTATGGGACTAAAGCCCGCTACATTATCTATATAGCAAAGAAATCTACTCATATGCACATAGCATACATATTGACTAATTAACAACATAAAAATATCGTATTTAAGTAGTTTTATCCACGACTATTGTATAATGTACCCATTATACGTCTGTTTGCTCGACCTTAATAATACCCATTAATCACGGCAGTGATTAATGAGTCATTAATCACTACTGTCAGATGCTTCCTTAATTTAGCTATAATATTATATTGTACTGCTACAAACAGTCGGTTTTTTTAAATTTTATCGTGTAAACCACTAAATATTTTCAATTCAGTGCTGTACATATAAAAAAAAA